AGATATTTGCAAAACTCTGGACCGCAGGTGTCTATGGTGGGGAACGAACGCGCTATTGTCCTTTCCGGGGAGTAACGCGTCCACCACCACACCATACGGGTCCTTCGTTTCGCCTGTCTCTCAGCCAATCTTGTGATATGGTTTTGATCTACCTTATGCCACTGATTATGACTTTATCGAGTTTTTTTAGATAACATTAGGTTAAGTCGTTCGGTTCTAAGCGAATGTGGGTATCTTTTAGTGAAGATTTGCTAATAACTGGGTTCAGTTCTCCGGACTTAGGAATAAAGTCTGCTTTCGACATTATACTTTAATGTTCTTCAAAAACACAATTGTTTAATAATGGGAAAGTTTTCAAATGGCTAGATGGTTCAAGTTATCTTCACAAGTCTCTACGTGCAAGGTGTTAGCTGATTGATAAGATAACATGAGATTTGTTATCACCACATGTTTTGTCATGACTGCTGCTACTGCGATAACGACATCTTCAGACTCAAGGAGTTCATAGTTCAAGTCAAAGCGTTCGGTTGTTTTCTACGACGTCTCCGGATTAGGAGCATTAATAAACCATCTAGAAACCAGGATTTCCAGAAATGTGATCTCCTATTGTGCTTCCTTTCACTCGACTCATTTCCTTGTCTTCTTTTTCCACGAATATTTTCTGATTTGTGTATGCTGTTAGTTGTTGCTTAAAGACTTCGTTCTTCTTTGTGAACACTGCTGAATGTGCTGAACGAGCGAATTCTCACTAGATTCCTGTGCTAGTCGTGCCAGGGTATTCTCGTATCTTTGCAGATCGGAGCGAGCTTCCAGTGCAATTCCAGTGTCAATTGTCCGATCCTCGCAAAATGATAAGTTTTGTTGACACGTGACGGTGTTGAACCAGAGATCCTGCGCGGTTTACTAACGTACACCTCTACCACTGTGCTTCTCGCCCGGCATCGTCCTTGCATGGCTGGACCAGCATCAAATGCGAGCGAGTTTTCCTCGGTTGCGTACTGCCTGCTTTTTGACAATAAGAAGTCTTTACTCAATAACTAGAGTGCTTTAGCACTTCTGAGCAGGACAGAATTGTAGAAGAGACTTTGCTCTGTCGTTCTGTAGGTATGAATGATATGTGTGCTATTATCTACTGTGTATTACTCTATTGTTTAACTCTATCGGGCGTGTGTAGCGCAGTGGTCGGAGGAACCGTGCAATGCACACGGGATCGTTCCCCGCTCTCATGGCCCACCAAGCCTTCAATCCCTCCGAGGTCGGCAATTTGGTACCACTTGTCTAGGAGGATAGCAGCACTGACTTGATACATCGGTAGACCACCGTGAGTCATTGTAAAGGCCATATATGCATTCAGTTACCTCCGACGAACACTACTGAAGTCGAATGTATGGCGCATCACTCGGGGATTGATCAACGCAGAGAGCTTTATCCTTTTTATAGCTCTGTTGTATCCTAATCATATTGCAAATCATTGCACTTCATATTGAGTCTATTTCGTTATTTCCATGTCCATGTATTCCATACGATGACCATAACTGTTAAGATGATGTAACAACGAACTGTTAGTCAAATTGCCGGTCAATGAAAACTTTTTCGAAGGTATTTTCTAAACCACTAAGTGTAGAAAATGGTTCTCCTGGTCTCTTCACTCCGATCTCGATCTGCTTTCGATTACATATTGAGTGAATATAAATGAAGCTTTAAAACCACTTTAGTACGCGCAAAACTGAATCTGGGCACCATAGTGTCCATACGGACGTTTGGTTCAAACCGGCCTGTGCGTATTAGTGTCCATGTGGAGCGGACTAGTTTAACGGAGATCCGTTTGAAAAAGTCCTTTTGTGAGGGTTTTGATTCAGTTTCGTCTCTTTTTTTCGACAGAGATTTTATTTTTACACTCACAGATACTAACCGTACCGTATGCACTTAGAGTGCAGCGAACGATTTTCCGATAACGGTTGTTACTCACTGATAACCAGCTACTCGTTAGGGTTTTCTCATAGTACAACAATCCCACGATACCATCATTTTATTTACTGCCTATTATAATTTTTCACGACAGGGTATTATGTGTGAAACAATCACAACGATGCTGAGATATTTGCCGCAAGGACCCACATGGTGTGGTACTGAACACGTCAGCCATCGGAAAGGGTAATAGCGCGTTCGTTCCACACTGCAGACATCTGTGGTCCTGATTTTTCAAATAATCCCACGACAGTTTCTGTTAGAGCTGTCCGCTACACTTTGACAGTAGTTGTAATGTCTTGCTAATGGCACCGTTAGGGTAAAAATTTACTGGCTGAGAGAAAGACAGAACAAAGGCTTCACTGGTGCAGTTACACGTGAGCCACTGGAAGGAGCAGTCGAGGGTTCAGATCTGGCTTGGGGTCAAGGTTTTGCAAATATCTCAGCATCGTAGCAGCATTGTTATTTCTGCCGTTTGACAGTTCCGATTAATGTCTTATGAATTTTCTGTTGTTCCGACCTTGAATTTCTGATTCAGGAAGGCTTTCTTGAAGTTTACGGCATTTTTCTTTACTCCTATCTACTGACTACTAATTTATTTTCATGCTTATCTTCCTTAACACTTCATGTACGTTGCAATTTACTGCATCCTTCTACACCCATTTTTTTCCGGGACCAGGATTTTTTCTTGGAGATATCGAAAAGAAGATTGTGTCTTTGGTTATTTTATGAAGGGTACTGCAACGAGAATAAAGTTTTCGGTTATGCTTAGCTGTTGGCCTGCACTTTTTGTTTGTCCAATCCAAGCGGTGACCAATTTATGTAAAACATTCCAAAAGAGGGCTCCTGTCTTTAATCGCGATGACTGATGTATCTTAATCGCAAATGTGTTTAAAAAGAACCTGCGGTGTACTTTTCGGTATATTCTATCCATATTCTAATCTATTCTGTCCCTCGTTTCTATCCATTTATTTTACTTATTTCTGTGAATTTGCGTACTTTGCCGCTTAGGGCACAGTTTCTTTACACAGGAGCTTTTCCTTTTCTCGATGTAGATTTAATCGGAAGATTATTGTGACTTTGCATGGACTAAGCAAAGCTGTGAAAAAAGCGTTTTATATGCGTTCTAGGGGAGTTCAAATAATAATGAGGCAGGATGAGGTTGGAGACCACCGACTCGATGGTCAGAATTCTTCACGAAAAGCCTAGAAGAAAGACATGATTCTCGACGAATCCTTAGAGCAAGCAGAACCTAATGGGCTACTTTTGCACGCGGCAGGGAAAAATGGAAGATTTACTGGCGCCCTCTTGAGTCAGTCGACGATAAACGGGACTACAGGTGATACAGGTGATATAGGTGAACATGTAATTAATTATTCATTGAACAACTACTAATTTGGAGCGGGTGGCGCAGTGATAGAGATACCGTTTATCGTGAGTACTATGCTGGTTAAACCCCGTACCGGCATCTCGAAGTCTGGTTTCTCTCTGGGATCAGAAAGTTGGTACCAGACTTGTCTAGGAACAGTTAATTTTTTCAAACCTAGTGGGAACGCTCTAACCTGGCTATCCTAAAACTCTGGGGAGAATCGACTCCACCAGCATTCGGCGATATGCATAAAGAAGAATACGACAAGGTTCTAGCATTGACCAAACCTACACGCGAAAAGCTCAAGAACCTTCATGCATGGATCGATGCGAGGAAACAAATCGAATGTTAAAGAAAAGAGTGCTAAAGATGGGAAGACGGTCGTGTAAAATAGAAAAAAAAACAAAAGGATAATTAAGAAAAGGATAGCGGATAACGCTGTCGGCGTTGATCAATTCCTGAGGAATGCGCCATGCATTCGACTTCACTAAGCATCGTTTGGAAGTAACTGACTGCATACTTGGCCTTTACAATGGCGCGCGGTGGCCCACCGATGTATCGAGTCAGTGTTGCTATTCTCGCAGACAAGTCTGGTACTAAATTGCCGACCCCGGAGGGATGGAAGGCTTGGTGGGCTATGGACGCAGGCATCAATTTCACGTGTGTGTTGCAGGGCGCCTGCGTCACATGCGCCCTACCGTTCACATGTGCATATGTATATGTGTAGGTAATACGTCTCTATTTTAGAGGTTATTGTGTAAATACGCGTCTCTGAACGAATTTATTCATGAAGGAAATAACCATGACACACACAAGCCGAGGCAGACTTCTTCCTGATGTGTTAGGTTCCCGGACTGGCAAAAGCTTTCTGTCCATAGAATGTTGCACCTAAACAGTGTTTCTGATTATATGAGAGTATTAGTGAATGGTTACTAGCACATACAGGAGACGGCTGTAGCAACGCTCTTTGCTCTCAGTAGTTGGACGAGTTGTTGACTCAGATGTTGAGTCAGTTACCGGCCCTCCTTTTGAATCTACATTATATCAAATTATGTTAAGTGATTTTAGTAGCACTTTAAAAGGTGCAGATGAAAGCATTACGGATTCGATAGCGCAGTATGGATGTGATTTCGAACGCAATGCTATAAGTAATCACAGGAACCATGTTGGTGGTGGAGATTAGAGAAGTTCCATAGTAATCCGGAGAGCAGAATCTAAGCACTTAGATGTTTTGGAGATGATCAGACCCAAAACTCTTTGGCGGTGTAGGCTTACCTATAATCAGTATGGCGTTGATTTTTTAAGGTTTTAATCTTAACACCGTCCCACACGCATCCGTCGTAAGCCAAATTCTGTGTGTAGTTTTGGAAGATCACTTCAATCGTTGAACCAGACGGTACGTTAAGCAGTAGATATTCGTCGTTTCTAATCAACTCAGTTGCGGACACACAAACCCTAGTACAGCAGTTGTAAAAGTAAAATTCGTCGCTTTCACCATAACGATCATAATCCTTATTCGCAACGACGTCCCTCAATTCTTGGTACTCGTCTGTCGCCGTAAGTTCCTGACCACATCCAGGTGGCTGGAAAGATAGGAGTAAACTTGTTCTCTTCCTAACACTTAGTTTTATTAGGAATTAAATTCCCTCACTCTTTCATTACAGAGTGCTCTGCCATATCTGCTAAGACAAATGCATTTCGAGCAGTCTTTTGGATGAGGGAACCCGCCGTTTTCGCACTTTGCCGAGGACCGTTTGGTGCACTTGTCTAAAAAAATGTGGTTTTACTGGAAAACAGGGTCATATCAATAGGCCACACACCTTTATAGCAACATTCTCACCGAGGCATTTATGGTGCAAGTTAACCATGAGTTTCTCGTAGAATGAAAGAATGTACGAGCCTAGGGTGGGCAAAGAAATTCGTATCATGGGGCGCCATGTAAGGCTTACCGTTCCTTGAGACACTGAAATTGAAATTTTAACTTTTTGCCACTTTTACTCACTCAAACACTGAAAATTTGGCCACCGCAGTTGCTCCGTAAGGCATAACAGTTCCGTAGTCGTAGCTGATGTAGTTGTAGTTGGTACGTTCAGATTCCTTTGCAAAATGGTGCTCCCAACCATCCTTAAATCACACCTTTTTAACGAAGAAATACGTTGTCATCTAAGTCTTGACATACCCTGGCGTTCTCCAAACGAAGTGCTATGAAATTGTCACGATCGTATCTCGCTTGCGTGTAGTAGCCACCAATGGCGTAGCCGAGCTCGTGCAACTTCAATCCAATCTAGGTGAAACGAGGAAGAATATATTTCAATTAAAATCTCTTCCTCCGTAGATGCCAAGAAACACGTCGTCGAAGATACCAAGTCACAAGATTCCCTAGTGAGAGAATCTCAGCTCCACCAATTCTTCCGAGATGTGACCAAAATGATGCACCGTGTACAAGAACAACTTGCTCAATAAGAATATCGAGAACTACAACTACAACCTCAGCTTAGCTGAGTTCGTTGCCGATTTGGGTTCCCAGATCAATTCCGCTGACGGGTGATTGCTGATGGAAAAGATCGATAGAACTAATTGAGAGACACGAGAAACGAAGGACCCGCATGGTGTGGTGGTGAACGTGTTACTCCACGGAAAGGCCAATAACGCGTTCGTTCCCTACCGCAGACACCTGCGGTCCGGAGTTTTTCAAATATCTCAGCATCATTGAAGTTATATTTCGCAATATACCCTGCCGTTAAAAAGAGTGGGCAGTAAATAATAAGTTAAAATTAGGGTAGATGTTGGTAGCGATGCTCGTCATCACGAGCGTAGTGCTAGTTCGATTCCGCTTCTGGCCAACCAATGCTCTCATCACTCTGAGGTCGTGGTACCGGACTTCTCTGGGAGAAAACCACACTCTACGATCCAGTTGGGAATGCTCCAGCCCGGACAGCTCAGGAAGTCAGCGAGAATTGCTCGACCAGTATTCTACGACATTCAAGATGAAATGAAAATCGACAAGCAGCAGTCGAAGCCACAAGTTAAAGTTGGAAGATCTTCGTGTACGATGGATTCGAGGAAACGAGTTGAATGTGAGAAGTGCTAGGATCCTCACAATAGACGTGAAGACAGATCAAATAGAATGGAATAGAAAAATAGGGTAGATGTTATTCATGTTTAAGCATCGTTGCACTTAGTCAGAAACACTTCTTGAACTTTCCGCTCTTGTTAGTTTCTTCAACTATATATTTTACTCTCGTTTTTTTATTTTACGTGACCCGTCATCAAATCTACGCTGCGAGCCGCAGCACTTCTGTCATGCGATTCGTTTTCCTCGGATCATCCACGAAGGTATTCGTTTGTTGTTTCGGCTGCAAACTAAAGAGTTCGTCTTTATGAATGCAGCTGGATGATGGTCGAGTCGATTCTCCTTGCAATCATGGAGAGAGCCGAGCTAAGACGTTCCTCCGTGGATTAGGGCAGTAAGCTAGGAGGGATTGAACCTGCTCTTCGCTTCGTAATGAACTGCATTACTGACTCCGCTTTGATTCGGAACGTTTTCCGTGGGATTGGTCTGCCCTTGGGTACGATTTTCTCCTTGGTTTCCCGAAATAGTCTTGTCAACATCTGCGGGTTATTATCGTAGTAGTCATCGACCTACACGGATCGGTAGAATGCATGCGGACTTGTGTTGAGGTTTCCTCCAGAATGGCGACTATTTATGGCATAGATTTATTCTTAACTGAGTTTCTAAATGGAAATAATGGACTCCTTCTAAGTCTAAATGACCATGTGTGGAGATGAACCCTGTGCTGTACATCGCATTTCGACACCGATTTGTCAGCCATGGGTATGGTGATAAACGTCCTTTTGTGTATACGGAACACTATTTGCACAGACGTTGAGAGATGTGCTTAGGTGTATGTGGACTGTATCTAATAGATCAGTTTCGTAAAAGTCTGCAATCAACTTGGGAATATGTGGGTAGCGAGTCGGAGTCATCTTCAACTAGGAAACGCTACATTGGAATTTGGGGTTGTTCATGGATAGCTTTGGACTCCACTGTTTTCAGGCTTAAACACTGCATATAGAGGACCCTATACCAAATGTGTGACACTCTTCTGTCTTTGTTTTTCCTTCCAGGGTGGAACACAATGTGTCGTTCTGACACGCTGTATGGCCGAATGGAGGATTTAGTGATGTCTACTCGAGTGAAACGATGTTCAACAGGATTACGATGACAACAGTGGTAGTAATGATTTAATGAGCTCCTAACGGCATATGTCTACTTAAGTCTCGCGAACATCTCGCAAGGGTTTGTCATTGGTAAGCATGTTCTAATGTAACAACGTTATGCGGTTAATAATCGCCAAGAACGAGTTTTTGTGTGAAGTAAAGGGCAAAATGTTCGATAGTGTTGCACCAAAGGTGACAGTTTTTCACAGTAACGCCCTACGGTTTTTGATGTGTTGTATTTCTTTTACTTACTTTACACATTCGCGACCACGCCTGTTTTGCTTTGGCTGCCACTGTGGACTGTATTTACTATCCCCATCGCTGTGAATCATATGCTACTCATATGGTCTGTTGTGACACTCCGATCCCTAGCGGTTATTAATAAATTGTCAAATGTACATATAAGCTACTATAGAGCAGCTACAGATACAAAGGACAAGGCAGAGAGGCTTAAATTATATCACCCGTTGTGACCTCTCCATGTGAGGCATGACACGTGTAGTCGCGAAAGAATTTAAGAAATCCGAACGGGATTTATGATCTCGCTAACTCTTCGATAAATGTAGAAAACGAAAAGTGGAGAAGTTGACAAACTTATAGAGGAGATCTGAAAGTCGACATAATGTGCTAAAGTGTTATTTTTATTTCAAATTAGCTCAGAGTGGGTAGGCTTCAAAGAACTATGGAGACGATCTGTACCTACAACGCACGTACACTTGCATCCGAGTCCTCGATAGAAGACTTGCTCATGCAAGCAAGAAGATAAAGTACGACGTCATCGCCCTGGCCGAGACGAGACGACGCCAGCCATTCAACGCCGTCTATGACACCGGAGAAGAACTGTTCCTCGGAACATGCGACACTGAGGAGTCGGTGGCCTCGGTGTTCTCGTCAACACGAGTTTGTCCACGAACATCCATTCATTCGAACAACTCACAAGCCCAATCGGACATTTACGATTAAACAGACGTGAATCAATTCCGGCTTTGACAATCTTCGTCGTTTACGCGCCGACATCAAACTATGACGAAGAAGAAGTCGAAGCGTTCTATATGGACTTGGAGAAGTTCTATAGAGAAAACCACACATTCTTCAAGGTCATCATTGGAGATTCCAACGCCAAGATTGGACTGGGAAGAACGTTACATTGGGACCCACGGATTAGACGGTAACGAATAGGGTGAGCGGCTGTCTGAGTTTATCATGGCGACCAAAACAATCCATGGCAACTCGCAATTTCAGAAACCCCACCCTCAGTGCCGGACGTGGGAGTCTCCCAATGGAGAGTACCATAACGAAATAGACCACATCATAATAAATAGAAGGTTTTGTCTAACCGATGTCGCTGTTGTTCCAAAATTCTACACGAGATCAGACCATTGTCTCCTTCGTACAAGCTTCTATTTCCCGCGGAAGGGAGAAAAAGCCGCTAAATTCCAAAACCGAAGTCCTAGAATCACCGTAAACTGGGATTTATTCAATTTATTAGTCGGCTGTTAGGAAGACGCTGTTGTCGATAACATCGACGAAGAATACGATCGGCTCATTCAACATGTTCACGTTAGCGCTATGAAAGCTCAGAGTTCGAAAGTCACCAAGAGACGTCTGTCTCCAGAAACACCCGAGCTGATACGCCAGCGTGGAATCGCACGAGCTGAGGGCAACCGCGAACTAACGTCCGAACTTGTAAAACAATGCAGATAGGCGATAAAAGAAGATCTTAAAGAGAGAAGAGCAGCAGTAATGGTCGAAGCTGAAGAGGCTGGGAAAAGCATTCGCAAAGCCCACCGAAACTTCGCCAATTACAAAACCAAAATGATTGCACTCCGGCGTCCAGGCGGAACAGTTACAGCGTCTAGAAAGGCAATGGAGAAAATTATTCACGAATACTACTCGGATCTATTCGATAGCCACGACCACCGTTCATCATATGAAATAAAGGAGGATGGGCGTGCTGTACCACCGGTTCTCCCTTCCGAAATCTAACATGCAATTTCGCCGGTGAAAAATCGGACAGCACCAGATCCGGACGGGATACGACCAGAACACCTGAAGAACCTTCACCAAAGAACACCAGACTCCTGCCCACCTTTTCGACTCAACGGTACTTCCTGCCCTAACATATGCGTCAGAAACCGGGTCGCTGCGTAAGCTGAATGAAAGCTCACTCAGCGTTATCGAACGAGCAGTCGAAAGGACGATGCTAGGAGTATCCCGCTCCACACAAGTAAGGGGTGGGATCCGAAGCTCTGCGTCAACGATAAAAAATCAAAGATACCGTTCTGTACGCCAATCATTCGAAGACAAGGTGGACTGGACACGCAATGGGTATGAATGACAACCGATGGACAAGAGCCGTTAGTGACCGGATTCGTAGAGATGTCAAACGTACTGCAGGAAGACCACCGACCCGATGGTCAGAGTTCTTCACAAAGAGTCTTAGAGAAAGATATGACGCTCGACGAGTACCTAGAGCGAGCAGAACCCACTGGGCTACTCTTGCACGCGACAGGGAAAAAGATTTACTGGCGCCTGCTCGAGTCACTCGACGATTAACGAGACTAAAGGTGGTGCAGGTGATAATCAATATGATCATAGTTAATGATCACAGGTATAGTGTCAATATAATAATACCAGTTTGGTTAGATTTTAACTAAAGATACTTCAGCCTTTCAAAAGCTCTACACATTGACTTTTAATTAGTAAAACAAGTTTGCTGAGACGAAACAGTGAAAACTCAGAGATACTGACCTGAGGCAAGAACATTTTACCAGAGCCAAATAATTCGCCAACTACCGCCATACCATCCATCAACGGTCTCTCTATGACATTTAGTGGACGTGGATACTTTTCTGTCATTAGACGGGCCTCTTCGGTATCTTCCACAACGAACGTATCAATTCCCTCAAATATTGATTAATTGTCTCTTTCTATTCTACATCTTTTTTTCTGCACAAATTATGTATTGATGTTAAAAAAAACTTTGTAGCGCTCCTAGAAATTGAGCAATTTAATTATTACCATCTAGTTTTTCGTTGACATAACCATCTATGGACTGAATCAAGCAAAAATTTGTAAGGATACTGGTTACGATGTGTACTTGCATTACCATTATGCATGCAAGATCGGAAGTTACCAGCGAAGAAAACACCAGAAGCCATTTATAATGCTGAATAAGCATTCCTCAGAACGTAGGGAGTTATGAACATGTTTCAGGCTCACTAAGTCTTTCATCCCTTCGAGGTCGACTAGCTGATACCGGAGTTGTCTTGATGAATAAAAACACCGACTTTGTACATCAATGGGCTACCACAAGTCATTGTATAGGCCAGATATGTAATCAGTTACGTCTACGATACAAGGTGAAATCTAATACCAAGTGGATTCCTCAGTGGAGTGATCAACGCCGTTTCATCCTTCTTTTATAAATATATGTATTTGTTAATAATAGCTTGCCGATAATGACACAATGCATGCAAATGCCTGTTTTCAGTCGCTGATAGAAAAACCTTTTTTCTAAGACCATATATCTCCATTAGATGTGTGGGGAGCGGGTACCGCAGCGATTAAAGGCGCCCTGAAATGCACATGGGTCGAACCCGCGCCACAGGTTCACCACGTCTTTCATCCCTCAAGAGTCGGCAAGTTGGCATTAGATTTGTCTGGCAGGATAGCAGCACTGGCTCGATACATCGGTAGGCTACCACGAGGCATTGTATGGGTCAGGTCTGTATTCAGCCACCTCTAACGATACTTAAGAAAGGCGAATGCATGGCGCATCTCTCAGGGATTGATTGGTCAACGTCGACAGCTTTATCACTACCCTTATATAGTAAAGTGCTTTAGCAAACCTTGACTAGAGCATACTTCAGTCGCTCTTCAACAGAGAGATGACGCCACTCTTCAGCTTTTTCGAGCTTCTTGTCCCCTTTCTTCATGTCTTGTGCTAACATTAACATCTTCTCCGTCGCATCTGGATCGCGATTAAACAAGAGATCTTCGATGAGTGTCAAAAGATCCTGAAAAACATGACCTTCTATTGCTCTTAATGCCTTGTTATCTCACCTCGATTATTTGTGAAAACAAAATTTCGTTACTAATTCACCCTTATTCGAGTTATCTACTCTTATTGACAGTACCTCGGAAACGCAATTATTCCAAACGGTTTACAATTCAAATTATCTGAATGTAAACTTTTTATCTCCTGCCTGTTAAAATTTTTCACGGCAGGGTACTATGTGAAATACAGCCATACTGATGCTGAGATATTTGAAAAACTCCGGACCGCATGTGTCTGCGGTGAAGAACGAACGCGCTATTGTCCTTTCCGAGGAGTAACGCGTTAACCACACCATGTGGGTCCTTAAAATTATTTAGTTGTCATGAAATCATAGGAAATCCAAACTAGTCAAACATCCTGGTATGTTTTCCACCTTTCTAAATCCCTACATAAAACACCGCTTAGGTTCAACAAACCAATCATTTCACCGATTAGTGCCTTGATACTTCATAACTCTGTCATCCGTTTCTTTACAACATTTTGGAACAACTTCTGGAAAATGAACTCTGAATGGAAACATAATTTCATTTTTTCTCAATACGAAAAATAATTTAATCCCTCAATGTTGACCTAATGAACGTCATTAACAACTTCGGCTTACAACCGATGATAAGCCCAATGTAAGCTGGAAATGTCACAATGGCTTGGAATATATTCCAAATCATGAAAAGTGCTGAGGATCCTAACCTTAGGGATATCCTCATAAACCGGTAGTGCGCCAGCGTTAACTATTCCCATGTCCATTCCAGCTTTTATTGCATAGTATAGAAATACAGAATGCATAGCTTCTCGAACGACCTGGACAAAAAGTGCATGTGAAAATTGTAATAAAATCAAATAAAAATATGAACCATCATACTCTTGCTGATCTAACATTGGCAGCGAAGCACAGGATAAAGTTTTACCTAACCTTACTTGCTCTTAAGTTATACCTTTACTTCAGAACAACAACAATATTGTACTAACATCCATTCCACGGAATGAGAACGATATGTTCGACACTCCACCCGAAACATGACAACCCGGCAAGTTCTCCTAAAATTAAAGTAAAAATAACTGTACCACATTAACCAATCAAAAATACGCCAAGACTGCAAGTATTAACATAGAAAAAAGGACAAAGCTTTCGGTGTTTATCAATCCCAAAAGGGATGCGCCCTGCATTCGACTTCATTAAGCATCGTTGGAGGTGATTGAATGCATAACTGGCCTTTACAATGACCCGCGGTGGCCTACCGATGTATCGAGTCAGTGCTGCTATTCACCTAGACAAGTTTGGTATCAGTTTGCCGACCTGAGAGGGATAGAAAGCTTAGCGAGCCACGGATCGATCCCATATGTATTGTAGGGCGCCTCCGACCACCGTGCTACACGCTTTGGGGTATTAATGTGGTTCTTTAAAATCAATAATAAAATTATGGTTCGAATTAGCGAATAAGTAGTGCGAGTGATCTTACTTCCTTTCAACTACTGGAAAAAAAATTGATAGAAAAGGAAGGCAGTTTGGAAAGAATTACTCGAATCAATCTCGTGGCGTCAATGAAATACATTCCATAGTTTGCGTGCTCCTCCATTCCGGTAGCGATTGTAAGAATGTTAGGATCGAAGATGATGTCACATGGATCGAAACCGACTTCCTCCGTTAAAATCCTAAACTAATCGAGAGTGATTAGTTCTGAAATACGCAAAAATGCAAAGAGAGAACATTCTTGGATGGAATTTCCATTGTGGAATAGAAAGCAATTGCTCAAAACAATTCATTATTAGTTGACAGCACAAAAAGTAACTTTTAAGGATACAGTGCAAACCTGTAACTCCGTTCGCAAATCTCGTATTTCCGTTGAGTCTCAGCAGCTTGGCCTTCTTCATCGAATGCCATCACTACAACTGCCGCCCCATATCGACGAATCAATCGTGCCTCAAAAGAACCGATAAACAAATTTAAATGAACTTTGAGGAAATAAGCCTAACTTCATTTTCTGCCATTAATATCTATTATGTGGTGATTGCTCGGCTTTAAGAAAACAGGCTTAAAAAGGTTGATCGCAACCCGACCTATTTCCTATGATCAAACCCTGAGTTGCAACAGTCCTAATGGCTATTTTAAGTGTCGTCACCTCCAATTCACCACTCAAAATAAAATGACAAAAACAGGTAGGATAATGGTAGTGGTGCCAATCAATACGCGATCCCTATGTTCATGATGTTTAATACGTTCAATATGCCGTTCAATGAGGCTCTGATTCGATCTCGCATCCTAACCGAATCCTCCCTCCTTTACGCATCTAGAGTCAGAAATTTAGTAAAAGATTCGTTTAATCATTAAGAGAGTAGTCTACTGCACATAAGGAACTCTTGTAAGGCGAACCCACACGCAAAGTCCATCAGCTTGATATGAAGAGCAGGGATTTGCACAATGTGACGTCGTGCCAAGTAAAATTGTAATAAAGAACTGGTAGCAGAATCCCTATTGAACCATAAAAGCTAGCAAATTTCTGGGTCGTGTGCACTCAAAAAGCATGCATTATAGATTGTCGCCATAAAAACCGACTTCCACATATTTCTACGGTGAAATCCGACCCACAAGATCCGCATAATTACAGACTTGGTAGACTTGTCTTCATCTCTTAAATATATACGCCTCTTGGATCTTACCCGAATTACGTACAGACGCAGCCGGGTGTTTAGCACCAAGCACTCACCCGCTCGATGAAAGCCTTCTCTCCTTCCTTCAGTGAAATCGAGTTAACGATGCATTTCCCTTGAATCGACTCCAAACCCGAAATGATCACCGAGAAATCTGACGAGTCGACACAAACGGGAACCAGAAAAATGACAATTCTTGGATTGAAATCTAATCAAGCGAATAAATGAAATAAATGGAATAGAGAGATGCGAAGAAGGACATTCGCTAGAAATTGGTAGTCGTAAAACGAAATCATAAACATTATGGATAAAGTACGTCATTCTCTCACGAATTACCTTAGCAACATCAGGCTCTGTGGAAACAAGTCGCAGGAATTTACTCATCGCAAATACCCCATCAAGAAGACCGTCATCCACGTTCACATCAATCACTTGGGCACCGCTCTCTACTTGATGCCGTGCGACTTCAATAGCAGCCTATAAATGGTGATGTACAAGTGATCAGCAAAATCATACGACGAGAATATGTTGAAACAAATCGGGATACACAACAGTTACCAACGGCTAATAACAGACAATAGTTAATAAAATAGAGATACTGATCTTTCCGTACCACCTATTATTGCTTGAAGACAGGAAAAAATGTTCGATACTGACGAAATAATAGTTGTTGCCATTATGGCAAAGCCGGAACTATAATGTCCGTTCAATCAACTTCCATGAATTATACCCTTGATTTCCAAACAAACATAAAGTACCGGGTGCCAACGAGAGCTGATGTATACACACCTGTTGAATGTCATCTTATGGTTCAAATGGCTTGCTTAGTGAGCATAAGTGTTTTGAACTATACGGTCTCTATGCTATACCTTTTTATTTTCTGCATACTATAATTTCGCGGCCGGCAGGGCACTAAGCGAAATACAACCACAACGTTGCTGAGGTATTTGCAAAACCCTGGACCGCAGGTGTCTATGGTGGGGAACGAACGCGCTATNAGTAACGCGTTCACCACCACACCATGCGGGTCCTTCGTTTCGCTTGTCTCTCAGCTATTTCTATCGATCTTTTTGCCGCAGCAATCACCCGTCAGCCGCAGCTTAACTGGGTTCTATGCCGATTTGGGCGCCCCAGATCAATCCCGCTAGGACAATAGCGCGTTCGTTCCCCACCATAGACACCTGCGGTCCAGAGTTTTGCAAATACCTCAGCAACGTTGTGGTTATACGGTCTCTATTTAAGCAACATCTAAAATCGAAGCGATCAAGACGTTGCGGACGTGTATTACTATGAAGTTACATAAACTTATCCCCAAATGGCTAATTTCATCGCCTTAAAAGAGAAAATCCATAAGGGTTGAGTAGGGAAAAGAATAGACTTTAAAAGTTGCAATTAAATCTTAGGAATAATAAAAACAATGCCACAATAAACGGAATATTAAGCTCTGGTGAGAGAATAATTCAGCATTCTAATAATTACGATATGTTGGTAACACACCATAACTTGTGTACCAGTTTAATAGAACCAAAGGCTCCGATGTTATCTCACCTCATAGTTCTCTTTCTTGATGAGATTGCAGAACCGACGAGAACCAGCGACGTTACACCTTTCACCAATATTCACGAAATTCGTAAATGGTCCAACAATCATCGGTTCGAGGCCAGACAACATCATATCCCCCGCATGTGGATCGGGTGGTGGCTTGCGTGGAGGAATTCCCTAAAAGCTTACCTTCATAGTTTTCCTATAAATTTCACGTACCCATAGTTGTAATATCCAAGATGACGTTTAAATACGGCTTCCAGAAGTATACAATTAATACGATTAAGAGATATCTACACTTCCTGGGAAAAAACTGTGGAAACAAAACCATGAAAAACAAGGAGGACAAAATTTTGAAATACCTTCAACACCTTTGCCATTGCTGCAATATGGTCTGGAGTGGTACCACAGCATCCTCCAACAATGTTAACCTTTTAAAAAAAGCGCCAATATTTATAACGAAGTTCAAAAAATCCAGTTGCAGTTAGAAAAGAAATCGGCAAAACAATAGTATGTAATAGTAAAACAAAAAACGATAAGCAGGAATAATCGTAACAACGATAAAGAACTTCAGAGCTAAAGTAGTAAACCAGTAGTGAATCATACCAATCCATCTTCAGCAAACTGCTTTAGGTCCATTGCCATATCCTCAGCTGTTTCGTCATATCCACCAAGTGCATTTGGAAGACCTAAACCAGACTTAAATTGGAAGAACTTTTATTAAGGAAAGAGGAAATCAACCTATTAATGTACTACGACTGTACTGAATCTACAAAGTGGAAAAAATCGTAGATGAAGTGGGATATTATATGATCAAAAAATTGGAGAATATGAACACAAAAAGGGAGATAAAACACACAAAAATACCAGTTAAAGCCAAATGAAGGATCACTTTCCGTTAAAATCGTAGTCTATGAGAACTTTGTGTAGGTTCTCAAAGAAGCAGTAACGTTCATTTCATACGCTCGTCGATGGAAAGTGAATTCGTCTAAGGCAACCTACCAGCGTTGGGATAACAAATAATTAGCGCATCCGAGAAGTCAGACATAGCCTGGATAAAAGGACGCATGTCTTTCGCTCCAAGTGCACAGTTCAAACCAACTGCGGAAGGGCGACCCTAGAATGAAAGAGAGTGCTTATGGAGACGGATACCGTGTATATAGACGTATATATGTATACATATATATCTATATATACACGTATATATGTATAGATGTGTGTATATATAGGGTAGCAACACATCCACAAATTCTTTCCTCAAATGAAATACATCAGACTAAGACAATTTCTCCATTTTATGCTGTATAAGGTATAATATTGCATGTATTTGCGTTTTATACACATAAAGGATAAAGGATAAAGCTCTCGGCATTGGTCAATCCCTGAGGGATTCGCCATGCATTCGACTTCATTAAGTATCGTTGGAGGTAATTGAATGCATATCTGGCCTTTAGAATGACTCGCAGTGGCCTACCGATGTATCGAGCCAGTGCTATTATCCTCCCAGACAAGTCTGGTACCAATTTACCGACTTCCGAGGGATGAAAGGTTTGGTGGGCCATGGGCGCGCGGATCGATTCCACGTGTGTGTCGCGGTGGCGCCTCCAACCACTTCGCCACACGTGCCCTTTTATACACATATATCTATTTATATTATCTTACGAGTTGGTAAATATCCAACTATACAGCAAAGCCTTTTTTTCACACCACAAACCGACTCCTCCCACTTCGCAATCTTCCTCAGATCGTAATGAAACTTCGCTCAGTAGTCCACCTCTTAGATGAATTTTCATGCTCAAAATGTGGACTTTTATACTGAAGTTTAAATCGTGCTACCTAAAAATTTCTCTAAAACTTGAAAACGAGGAAGTTAACCGTGTTGAGTACGATGTAGTCGGACCTAGTGTTCCCCCATGCTTTCGGTTACCCCTTCTTCAGTTTCTACTAGATAATTCTTCTTATTTAGTAAAACGTTTGACTTATTTTTTGCTATGAGGATTTAGAAAGTGGTAGCGACCAAGGTAGTAAATGGGACTTATTCGATGGATCCCAGTACTTCTTGCATTCGATTTGCTTCTCTGCAACCGCCATTTATGAAGCTCTTCGAACATTTTGCTTGTGAATATGGCAGCTCTTTGAGGATTTCTGTCTTTCTCGCGAATGTCGTTGAATGCTGGTCAAGTCGATTCTCACTGCGGTCGTGGTATAGTCGTACTGGGGCGTGTCTGCGTTGAATGTAGGGAGTGATCTTCTCTAGTCTTAGATAAGTCTAGGGTCAATTCTCCGACCGAGGAGTGATAGGAGGCTTAGTAGACCTAGGACAGAGAGCTAAACAGCGATTGCGCTAGTTGGGCCGTGCTTGTTTGTGATGCTCATATGTTGTCGCGTTTCATCAATAACCAAAGAAATGAATGCTGCGAAATTTATCAAATTTTTTCTAACGAAGTTCACAACATCCGTAGGAGCGGAACTACCTATGTCCTGCAAATACAGTATATCGTACAGTATGGGAAAGAATCGAAAAAATGTGAGCGATTAACGGACCTACTGAACAGGTGGGTATCTGTGTGTGACCCATATATGGCTCATATTTCTGTCAGCATGGATAGTATGGTGTACCTGTCTGGTTGAAATTAAAAACGCTTCTCCTGTCTGACCGGATAGTGTTCGTCCAGACAGATCAACGATGGTGCCGGATAGAAAAACAGGAACCTCCATAATCTCTGAAGGTATATCACCTGACGAGACAAAAGTAATATCGAATGAACCTTGAGTAGATTTTACAAGATTCGAATAAATACGACTTAAAAAGCAGTTAAACCTAAGTAAAAATAAATCCAAAACACTGAGATTTTCTAAACACCAGTCTTTTCTTGCTGGCGGAGAATGTGATGTTAAATAGGGAAAAGCAAAGAGAAAGAGCTATTAGATTGTCTGGACGACAACGTCGATTTCATCACTCCGAATTTCAGAACTTCATTTCCAAATGCTTGGATACTAGGTAGTCTACTGGAGTTCGAAGCAGAAAACTTGGAGCTTCATTTCCAAATGAAGTTTCGCAGCCTCCCTGGTTCAGCAAACTCAATAGACAGTTACTCAAACGGCTACGGTTTTTACAAACACAATGACAACTAATGCAGTAGCTGAGAAAACTTTCAGCAACCAACCCGGTACCCTCCGAAAATTCCTTGACATCAGAGACCAATAACTCTATTATCCATATGTGATTGGTACAGATGTTTAGATCCCAATGGCTTTTATTCTTAATAATCAGGTTAATATGCAATATGATACTTATCTTTAAATCTCAAAGTCTAAAACTGATAGTGTTTCTCAGAACACCTCACAAAAAGAAGTCTCAAAAGATACGAAATAAGACAGTAAGAAAAAAACTAAGGAAGTCCTTGCCGATGCTATAAGAGTCGTACTTCTCATAGATCCGAATTTTCAGCTCGCTTTTCGTAGAGAAAAAGAAGAAAAAAGAGGAATAGAATCGTCCTCACCTTCATCCTCAAACAAACCACGAATGGCAAACAAAGCAGCTTTGGCGTTAGCCGTATCGAAAACGGTTTCCACTAACAACACATCAACACCTCCTTGTAGTAAGGAACGAGCTTGATCTCCGTACGCCTTGACGAGCTCTTGGAATGCTAAAACAGAAATCCGCAGAAATTGGAAGGTATAACGAGAAAAGAAGCAAAAGTGATGACTGGTGAGATGTGCTGGAGAAGCAATTATGGGTGGTTTAATCGGTACAACAACATCCGAAATCATCCGAGAAAAGCAAGCTGATCTTTAGTGCTAAAAATGGACACAATGAGAAAAGAAAGCACCGACTTTCCATGGATTTCGGCGTTAATCAAGAAGTAGTAGTGAGGAAGCTATCGATACTAAAGGATAAAGCTCTTGGCCTTGATCAATCTCTGAGAGATGTATCATGCATCATATTTGGCCTTTACTCGTGGTGGCCTACCGATGCATCGTCTGCCGATTCTATCGATACTAAAGGATAAAAAAGGATAAAGCTTTCGCCGTTGATCAATCCCTGAGGGATGCGCCAATTATTCGACTTCATTCGGCATCCTTTGGAGATGACTGAATGTATATCTGGCCTTTACAACGACTCGCGGTGGCCTTCCGATGTATCCAGTCATTTCAGCTATCTTCCCAGACAAGTCTGGTACCAATTTTCCGACCTCGGAGGGATGGAAGGCTTGGTGGACCATGGGCATGGGAATCGATTCCATGCGTGTGATGCAGGGCGCCTCCGACCAGTGCGCCACATGTGCCCTCTATCGATACTGCTACTAAGAAACCACTACTACTTATCATTAGGAAACTTCTTTGGACACGAATCCTTGCTAATCCATCTTTATCAGTTGGAGGCGTCCAGAACAGCCTTTATCCTTTTAGCTTTCCTGCTGCACATGTTTATGGAAGTTGTAAATTCCCTACATGATGAGATCTGTGGCTAGCACCCGATGAACCACAGGTCGCATTCGGGTGTGAAAGATATGTTAAATCTCCAGATGACCTACGTCACTATCCGATTCCCATTCCTCCACTACTTAACTAGTCTTCAGTCCAATGTGTGGTACTACTTTAGCTACTCGTAATTTCAACGTGTAGTATTCTTTACAAAATGGACACTAGACCGTGAATGGCGTTTGTCCAACATTCTCTATGACAGTGGTGGTCAGCTGGTTAGTAGTTTCCAGTTCGTATGACTCCCCCAAGAAACTCACTGATGTTTCGCATTTCAGGTTTCTCAACAGATGGAGATATCGATAGCGTCTTGTTGGTAGGCCCAATCGAACCGCAAACGAAACATCGCCGTCCTGAACAAGAAAGAAGGCATTAAAAAGGAATCACATAGAACTCAGTTAACATTCAGACCAAACTTATCTACTTGAAAAGAGTGTATTTCCACTTCCTCATTCGATATCTTGAAAATTATTGGACAAACCATCCAATTTCCTCAATCTTTAGTGCATTAATATTCACCAGTACCTTTGTTTCTTTAGCCATTTATCTACCTCACGACCTATGGGGGATTGAAAAATGCCGCCTATTTATGGCATTATCACAGCTGTGAGCTTATATCGCTTTCACATTGATGTTTCATGCATTCTTTCCAAGAACTAGATCTATGACCTCACCAGTACTTTCTGACACATCATCACAAGCTTTTCTAGCGACGAGTGCCGACCGGTAATTGATGTCGTGGACCAGATGTTCCGTTGAATAGTCTGCCTGAGCAATTGTGGTACCGGAAAACGTATTCGTTTCGATAAAATCTGCTCCTGCTTCCAGGTACAACTTGTGGATCTTAAAATCAAACTTCTTGTATCATTAACATCTCCATATATTTGTAGCATCTTAGTACTGTAATGCAAAACTTTGCAAACTAGTGAGATCACAACTTTAGGGATAAATAAATGAACGGTAAGGATTCTTGTGCATACTTTTTGATAATATTAATCATGAAACAAATCTGGCTTCAATTCCTCAGTTATAAGAAAGCAACTGAAAGCTTTCACATAATTTAAAAAAAGAAAATAGGAACGCTTATAGGCCAGTGGTCGGAGGCGCCCTGCAATACACATGGGATCGATCCCCGCACCCCATGCTCACCGAGTCTCCCATCCCTCTGGGGGGGGGGGGGGGGGGGCAAATTCGTACTAAACTTATCTAGGAGAATAGCAGCACTGGCTCAATACATCAGTATACCAGCGCCAGTCATTGTATAGGTCACATATGCATTCAGTCACTTCTAACGATGCCACGAATGGAGTGGAATGCATCCTTCAGGGATTAATCAACGCCTTGAGCTTTATCCTTCTAGAGAGACAAGATTGTTCCCTATTCCATGCGCACCACACAGGAAATCCCAAAAATCACGAACCACGTAGGAAGATGCTACTAAACGATAAAGAAAAACAACGACTCACGGACCTTATAGATGATGTCTGGTCGTGTAATTGAAAGCAAGTCATTATTGCCCTTAAGCGGTTTCTCGTGGTCTTTTAATATCTGAAATACAAAACATCTAGAACAAATATTTTGAGGGAAATATTTGTAAGAAAAACTCATTCCATAACTATTACCTTGATCACATACTGAATTTAAAAAAGGACTACGGGAAGAAACGTAGCCAGCAAACTAAGCAGATATACACTATCCCCTAAACCCACACACGTACCAGTAGGCAGCAGTTGACATTCCGACGTTTGAGGTCTGAACAGCACTGTATCCCTCAAGTTTATTGATCCTAATCCTAACCATGTATTGACCATATGCGAAGCAGATCACCACCATGGACGATGATAGCTCGAGAGAGCGAAACGAATGAAAAGGTCTTGAGGCCTGTATTACCAGAGCAGACTAGCTATACAAGTATCCAACTGAGCAAGTGATCCAAGCTCAAGCCTTCCTCATTTAACAAACTGGATCGAATGCGCGATAAAAGACTTTCTTCCTTCAATGTCGATTGGTAGACACTGTTAGAAAGTGGAACACAGTAGTTAAACCAGCCTTGCATTACACATGGGATCGCTGGCTCATTCCCGTCCCCATGGCCCACAGAACCTTCTATCACTACGGGGTCGAAAAGCCAGCTCCTGAGTTGGCTGAGAGGCGAGCAGCAGCAGTCATCTCGGGATTCTAGAGAACACGCCGTTCGATTCATCACTCAGCATGTCAACACCGATAGAAGACACAGGTCCTCAAGCTGCAGCTCGACGTATACACGATTCCGTTCCGTTTCTACAGGTGAGAGTCATAAGAAAACGAAACGAATGGATGAAGTGCTGTGGTCGGCAAGCCATTAAGCGACTAGCCATTTATGTAACTAAATAACTAAACACTCTACCCCAGCTTAAACGAATGTCGTTGTATCTTTCTGGCAGCACTGCTACTCAGCAAGTGATGTGAGCCGTGCAATCAAGTAAAGTACCTGTGGTAATGCTAATATTTTTTCCCATTACGGGGAAAAATCACGAAAATGAGTGTCGCATATTTACTTGGAAAAAAAGAGAAGTATTACTCATAAAGATAGTAAAAAACAGTAGGGAGAGATTCTTCGTAATCTTGTTGAGCAAACGCGAGGTGTTACTTTTATTCTTTATTCACGAACAAGCTGACGTTTCGGCGGATTTCGCCTTCCTCAGAGCCTGGAGTGGTCAAGTTGACAGCAATCTATTCGGCCTAACACCTCCATAACAAACAAAAAAACGCTAAACCAAGATTTCAATCACATTTAGCATAGCTCTATATACTCACCGCTTTCTATGAGTCTTCCACCGAGTATGTCGCGTGAAGACCAGAAGAACCGCACAGAATTAACATAGAAGCGCAATGTACCTCTCCCATCAGAATAACAGGTTTATATACTGTCCAATATCGCGCGTGATAATAAATAATGTGCAAGAAAACTCAAGGCGAACCGTGTTAAAAGGTATGACTCTCCCTGACGGTACGCGCTCATTATTAGAATTGGGACCGAGTTTCTCACCATCTGAACCCATTTCTAAGATAACCTTGCGCAGGCTCGCATGTAGTTTACAAGAGCTTCAAGATAGACTCCGCAAAACAGTTAGAGATGAAACGCAAAACAGGTGCGAACAACACCAGGTGGGGGCCCTACCAATAGCACCACTTCCGCCACCGTTGTTTAGACAACAAGAACCCAATAATAGAGTTGATGTTAAATTTCGGATGTTTACGAATGAAACTCTCAAAATCCTTAATCACAATCGCGCGAAAAGATATAGCTCAAACCTCACTGAAGTGAAAAACGTGGTATGCAAGAGGTACGAGAGCTGATAAGGTTGGAAAACATAAGACAATCCGTTAGTGTAGTTGACTTACCAACATCTCCCGTCTTGTACTTGCTTATAAAAACTCATAAGTTAGTATCCAACGATGATCTTGCGTCTACCGATCCATCATTGTTTAAGGCTAGACCTATCATTAGCTGTGTATGCGGGCCAACCGATAGGATAAGATGGTTTTTAATCCTAATATTTAAGCAGTTGTTGAAACATATTCCAGCCCATCTTATGAATACCCGGATGTTTCTGGATCGTCTACGTACTGCGCACCCCAAAGCGCGTACGTGATGAAGTCCTTCGACGTTAGCGCCCTTTATACAAACGTGTAGAATAACTCCGCTATGCAAGCCATATTCGAACTCCTTATACAACACGAAGGAGAAATAAACATGCATGGCTTCAAGGTAGAGCACTTGATGGCACTCTTAAAAGAATGCTTGAGCTGCTCAATCTTCAGATGATCTGGAAAGTACTACGCTCAAATAAGAGGGTTGGCAATGGGACAACGACTGGCTCCAAGCCTTGCCATTGCATTTATGTCTAAGGTGGAAGCACCGGTGACTGATCTCGGGCCGCTACTCTACTGTAGGTATGTAGACGACTGCTTTGTCCTTTGCTCAACACAAGAGGAAATGAACAAATCTTTCGAGTTGTTGAATGAACAGTTAGAGTATATCAAGTTCACCCCAGAGAAGCAGCAAGAAAACTGTCTTCCATTTCTGAACGCCAAATTAACCTGTCAGAAAATGGCTACATTATGAAGTGGTACCGAAAGCCAAGTAGTAAAACATCTTGGTTCATTACCTCTCCTCTCACCCCTCTCACACGAAAAGGACGCCTGTAAGAAACGTGTCGCGAACAGCAACCAACGTGTGCACGGGAAGAGAGCAGAGAGGAGTCCCGGAACCGGCAAATAGCCATTTCTAGTGGCTACGAAACTGTAGCTCAGGATAGGTGTAGGGGAAATCCTAGGCCTTCAAACGACAACTCTAGCGATAAAAAGGTCCCATTTATCCTACCTTTCATTTCAAATGATGTAAGCGCAGCTATAAAACGCTGGTTAAGTTGATCGAAGAATTAGTTGATCAATGCCGAGGTTGACAGAAAGTTGGTTGTGGGATTTAGTAGGGAGAGAAGTTCAAGAAAAAAAAAGAGAAAGAAAGCCGTTAAAACATTGAAAGAGCGCTGCAATTATTTCTAGTAATAATTTACTTTGATGCGCTTCTGGGTGTTAATGGGCAGGCCAGATATTTTCAACCACTTCTATGATATTACGAGTGGAGATGAATGCATAGCGTATCACTAAGGGACTGATAGACACTGAGAGCTCTATATATTACGGGGAAGCTATACAAAATTAAGTAGAAATGGTAGAAAGTAGAATGGTTCGTTTTAATAACGGGAGCAATAAATAGTACAACACGACCTTTTTTTAAACTGGTATGAGATATACCTTCCTTTCTTAAAATGACACTATCTAGTCTTTCTCCAGCATCCAAATATTGCCGATCTGATGGATTAAACTTAGGTTACGCATGGCCCTGAATCCAGCAAATATTCCCCAAATATTGTAGTAAGCTAGGAAACTTAATGTAATCATAGGATTTCATTAATCTCATTAAACTTTATAAATAACGGATATTTTATGCAGCCACTGAATTATTTTGTAGGAAAAAACAAAATCCACCTCTCCTCTGAAGTCGTGCTCCTCGAGATGTTCACGCTGGATCATTGTTCCCATAGCGCCATCGATCATCAGAATTCTCTGCTCAGCCAAGATGGCAATCTCTTCAAAAGCGGGGCTCCGTCCACGCATTTGTTGGAGGTTAGCCTAAAAAAGAATGGCTGAAAAAGTGAGGAACTGACAAGAAAAATGGACAGCATATTTGGAACGAAATAGCTCTTTACGATAACGGAATTATTGCCCGCATGTTTATAATTAGGCATCTCGCGACAATATGATTCATATACGACTGAACTGCATCACCTGTAGTCCCGTTGATAGCCGAGTGACTCGAGCGGGTGCCTGTAAATGTTTTTCACTGTCGCGTGCAAGAGTACCCCAGTGGATTCTGCTCGTTCTAGGGTCTCGTCGAGTATCATATCTTTCTTCAAGGCTCTTTGTGAAGAACTCAGACCATCGGGTTGGTGGTTTTCCTGCAGTACGTTTGACATCTCTACGAATCCGGTCACTAACGGCTCTTGTCCATCGGTTGTCATTCATACCCATTGCGTGTCCAGTCCACTTTGTCTTCGAATGCTTGGCGTACAGAATGGTATCTTTGATTTTTTATCGTTGACGCAGAGCTTCGGATCCCACCCCTTACTTGTGTGGAGCGGGATACTCCTAGCATCGTCCTTTCGACTGCGCGTTCGATAACGCTGAGTGACCTTTCATCCTGCTTAGGTAGCGACCAGGTTTCTAACGCATACATTAGGGCAGGAAGTACCGTTGAGTCGAAAAGGTGGGCAGGAGTCGGGTGCTCTTTGTTCTCTTCACTACATCTTCGATGCTCTTGAAAGCTCCACAAGCCGCTCGTTTCCTTCTGCTCAGCTCTGGAGCTAGGTCGTTCATGATATTGATTTCCCGACCTAGATAGATATAAGTGGAGCATTCAGAGATATACTTTCCGTTGAGCGTGAATGGGGCATGCGAAATCAATCCGTTCTTCATGAACATCGTTTCTGTGAGATTTAGTCGAAGACCAATCTTTCCACAGGCTTTATCAAAGTAGTCGAGCATATGTTCCGCTTGGCTAATGTTTGGTGTTATAAGGACGATCTCATCAGCAAAGCGAATATAGTGTAACTGCCGATCATCGAATTTTACGCCCATATTATCCCATTCCAATGCTCGCATTGCGTTATAGAGGGTGGTGGTAAATAACTTTGGTGAGATGATATCGTCTTGCCTAACTCCTCCTTTGACGTCAATGTTAATATCGTTGTAGAATAGTGATACCTTGGTTGCGTAATTTTTGTACAGCTCACGAAGAGTATTTATGTACTGAGTAGGAACTCCTTGACTATCAAGGGCTTCCAAGACTGCTTCTATCTCAGCTGAATCAGGCTTTCTGTAAATCGATGAGAGTAAGACAGAGCGGTCTTTTGTACTCTCGCGATAATTCAATGAGCCGTGTTACCGTGTGGATGTGGTCCATCGAACTAAATCTTCTTCGAAACCCTGCTTGGTCACATGGCTGTCCTTCGTCCAGTGTTCTGTCAATCCTGTTTAAGATGTCTCGAGTGATAAGTTTGTAGACGACAGACAGTAAGCAGATTGGGCGATTGTTACCGATATCGTGGAGGTCACCATTCTTGAACAATAACACGGTGTTGCTGCTCTTCCACCTTGCATTCAGACAGGTACCGTGTGAAGAGCAGAGCCAGTGTGTTTACGAGGACTGGCGGAAGGTTCTTCAGGTGTTCTGGTCGTATCCCGTCCGGATCTGGTGCTGTCCGATTTTTCACCGGCGAAATTGCATGTTAG